GCATACCTTCACTGTCTTCAGGCTCACTTAAAGTTTCATCACTAGACATAATTGATATAAATGACGACCAAGGAGGAGAGCTCATCACCAGATGAATCTTTCTCTCCATCAGAAGCAGACGTACTTGACTGTCCATTTCATCCTCGTTGTCGGTGCTGTACGTACCGAAGTGCGCTTTTTCTAATGAGTAGCCTTCCTTTGTTCTCTGTTCTTCCCCAGCATCTACGACCTTAAGATCGGAGGTACCTTTTCCTGTTTCAACTGGAAACGGAGAAGGTGACCTGCGGTTGATAGGAAGTAATCTTCTCTTGTGGTATTCTAACCCTCTTAGCCGTTTGCGAGTTATTAGGGACTTTAAGCAAACCACGACGGTGCGGCTACGGCGACGAGAACGTGGAAAAACAATAGATCTAATTGTCAGAACAATAACGTCTGACGTCTGTTCTCAACCTTACACTGCACCCATAATTCAGCCTCTGGGCTGCAAGTGGTCAGATATAAAACTATATTTACTGTATTCATATTCAACAATAGCCCAGCACGTGCGTTTTAAAACTTTGTACATTTCTTAGCCGTCCTTTGCAAAACAACAACGTGAAATCACCAAAATTTGCGTCGTCTGCAAAGCGAAACCGCGGCGGCAAATTATTTTAATTTACATTTGGAACTCAACACTACTTTTATGCGTTATGTTGAGTTTGAGGCCTGGCGCCCTATGAGACGGCAAACACATGAAGCCATTTTCTAAATTCTAACTAAAAGTAGAAATTCATTTTTTAATCGACGTCTTCCGTGCCGTTGCAGTCATTCGTGAACGACGGAGTTCGTCTGGTCTGCACGGTTCAGATATTTCGTAATGCTAACAATTTCAATTTTTAAACACCCGTGATGGAACATTCAAACACAATGTTTATATCTGCTAATTTATTGATGTTTTTGTAAGTAAAATATCTTTATTCACGAACAATTATCGCTCTTTTTAAAAACTGCTCAAACTTGTTGTACTGCAAATGAAGATGTCATAAGCAATTTTATTTCAAAAACCGTATATAATCTGTAAGAAAACATTCTGTGGAATTTCAAAATACTTTACCCAGAAGTAGTCAATAAGAGTTTAGAAAGTGTTATCAGATTTAGCCCCGCCATATTGCTAAACTGTGTTTATACCAAAAGTTTGTTTGTGAGAGATTCCACTGTTGCAACACAGAGGGAACAGAGTCGTTCAGAAACGAATTTTTTTTATTGTTGTGACATAATTAATTGCGCAGTTAGCGTAGATGACTCGAAAGCAAAAACAACGGCAAAAACAACAGCAAAAACAAACAAACAAACAAAAAAAACAATATGGTATCAGATATTTTCTTCTTGTCGTTTACAGGTAACATGTTCAAAGGCACGTACTCCTACGTTACAACAACAGCTAAAACTATCTTTGTGATGTCCTAATAGTAAGCTTGAAATGAATCGGTTTCCTATTGTGGCTTATCTGAAATATCTTTTTTTCAATTAACAATTGCAGCTGAATATGCAGAAGCAAGCAAATTGGTATCTCTCGCATCAACACTGCGTTCCCCACAGAGTTTAAGACGCAACACTGATTCCTCAGAACTTTGTTTGCAAAACGCTGACCCATGGAAGTGTACTTTTGAGGTTACTGAAAATGAAAAAGAAAGCGAAAACTTATACAGTATTTTGACTTAAAGTGTTTCCTAACTTTATAACTGGAAAGGCCTAGAAATAAGTTCATTTATAACATATATAATAAACAAAGTACGCATCGTATGATTGGTAAATTGAGTTTCCAAGTGCATGCTTTCTCACGTTATAGAGCCCGCATGTGGCTAATTATGTCATAAAAGTAATAGAGCGTATTTTTTCTTGGCCCTATTACGTGATAAAACCACTTCGGATGTTGAGAGAACACGAAGAAAGCTTAATCAAGTTAAAGAGCCCGGGAAAATGTTTTTTCGCTTAAATAGTGGATAAATAACTAAATCAGTCAAGATGGTCATGCGTGGAACCCGAAAACGGAAGTTCAGTTTTGAAAAAAAGCCTTGGGTAACATATTAAATGAAGCTTGACGAGAATACAATGTTATCTTAGTATTAATAAAGACACGTTATCATGAAGACCCTTATGCACACAACTTACCGCCGAATTGTTTTTTCTTCTAGTTTAGTCAAGCGTGATTGACGTCATCAAGTGCAATCTGTTGGAGATTAGAAAACGTCAGAATGTATTTTGAATAAAAATTCCAAAATCGAACTCAAGGTAAAATATTTTGTTGCCCCTTCCTCCAGCCAAGGTGCTATCTAAGAGCATTCTTAACATTGGGTCCAATAAATATCCTTACAAGTTAATTAAGGATCGAGTATATAAGGATTACGAGAATGACCAATAAAATGTAGTTTTACATGAGTGATATCTTACTTGATTACGAAAATCTGTTATGATAATTTCTTGATTTCTATCATCTCGTGCATCCCTAATGACATCTCCTTGTTCATTTTCTGTGCGATCAAGGAACGAAAGCAAGTCAGCTCATGTCAATCAGGTGGTTCCTTTACACAGCAAAGGGAAGATAATGTCCCATTCAAAGCAATTCGTAATTACACAAGTTTTGAGACGCCAGATAGTGAGAGACTGGAAAATAAAACAGTGCAAAGGGTTTCTAGAGTAAAGAAGATATCTTGTATGCTACAGCAGCTTTGGTCATTTTAGGTTGACTGCACTTCTGGTAGTGCGGGTGTCATGTACGTGTACATCTCTACAATTATATTTTTGTACTGTGTATCAGGAATTGTTGACGAAAAACGATGGCAAATAGGAACCAGAAACTTGTGGGATTTTTTTTTTTTAAACCTACCTTGCTTTAGTCGTGTATTTCTTTGAAGCGAGTGTGGTTTTGAGTCGATTCAGAGCGATTTAGGCGGTTAAATAATAGTTTCTAGTTGATCCAAGTTTCTGCTTTTAAAATGAATTTTTTTCGCCATTAATAAGGCTCGTCCAGCATATCTTTATGTATATAAAGATGTAATCGAAATATAGATTTATACGAATAATTGCTGAAATTCACGTACCTTCGTGAAATTGTAATGGACATAGCTGTACCGCTAAATGACGGCATCCAGTCTCACAAAGCGCCGTGATAAACTCTCGAAAGGAATTTCGTCTTCGAACAAGTCTATCTATCAATTCTTGTGCAGCTCTCATGGAACCATGATTAGTCTCTTCGCATTTTATTTTCTCCTTATCACTCTTTGTCAGGCATGGTAGGTAAGGCAACATGTCTATTGGAATAACATCCTCTACAAGTTGAGTGATATTTTCGTTGATGAGGTCTCGTTCCTCTCTGTCCATTTCCAAAAGATGTTAAAAAATATGGCTTTTCACTCGCTTTAAATGAAGGAAAAGCGGCTGAAGTCCGCTAAGGCAGACTTAAATATATCTTCCGACGAGTTCCCGATGAAATCACGGTAATTTTTGCCTTGGTATTTTTCCCGCGGGAAGATTATGACTCAGCCTGGCCCAAGTCTGACGTTAACAAAAGTTTCGTTTTCAATCGTTCGTGGAAGTCACGAGTTATTTTTAACAACTCGCCTATAGGCATGATATTACATAGTATAAAAATTACATCTCCGTATTATTGCTATATATACGTCAAAACTTTCAAAAGAACATTTCCTGAATATGCCACAACACGCTTTACCTCCATCCTCAATGTTTCTATTATTTTCACTCAAAGGGAAAAACCCCTTGTCACTCCTCCGAAAAAATTAAGAAAATTCTCGGCGGCGTCGTTGACGTGCTCACCGAGCCCAAGACGGTTAAATTTAACTTACTCATTTGACGTTGAAATAAAAACAAAGACTAAACGAGATATTGATATCCTTAATATTGCGTTGGACGTAACAGCAAGAGCATTATTAGCAATAAAGTTTGCGTGACAAAAACCAACGAGACACATTCATTTTACTACACAGGTGAATATTTAATTACTCATGACTTACGGATCACTTGGTTTTCTCTATTTAACGTTCGCATGAAGTTTGACAATGAATTTGACTTTGAGCACTTTTATTCTCTGTCTTTCAGTCTTCTTTTTTTGGGACTTCAGTTAGTCAACGATCTCGTTTACTGGAACACGTAAGCCACGGGTTGTTGTAAGTGCGATTAGCATAATTTCATGGCCAGAGTTACATGTAATTGTCAAGCCATACTTCTGTCAGAGTCAACCTGTGGTCAGCGTTAGTAGCCCTTCAAACGACGTCAACTCATGAGGCGAAGATATTGTTACCATTTTCCCCCTTCTATTTTGGGGTAGTAGCATCTTAGGGGAAAACATGTGGGATAGGTTTCTTTTCCTCTTCTTCTCCTTATTACTTTTCTCTTTTTGGAATAAACGCCAGCACTCTTAAAGCTTACCTTTAGATGCTTGGGCTCAAGAGTCTCGAGAAACCTGCTCGAATAAACCACATGGATAGCAAAATTGCTCAATAAAAAACTAGATATCACTAACAGAGAACGGGGCAAACACTTAATGGTGTAGCGTTTACGGCGACCAAAATCTAAATTCTCAAGTTAAAGGGCGTGTCGCTCCAAAACGCGGTTAACGAGGTGTTTGGGACTATTTTACTGATGGAAATGACGAACCAAAGTTGACTGTTTGCACGAATCTTTATTCTTGAAAGGCAATCGA